AACCTCACATACAAGTACCATGCAACCTCACATCACCAGCATCAAGTCATCCGAATCCAAAGCGACTTCATGGAAAACCTATTCGAGACCCTTTCAGGAACAAGGCATGTGCTGGGAAGGACGACATGTTGGCGTTCCTCAACCACACATGCCCGAAATCGCGGAATCCATGCAAAACCTGCTGAAACCCTGTAACATGATCAGTATGATGACCGTAGGGGTTCCGGGTTGTCACGGAATTCTCAAGGGACCGGAAAGTGCTCACGCGGAATTTCTCAGACCGGTGGCAAAGCAGAGTACTTGAGTCCACCATGGCCAAGGCCGTAACGATTCTCTGGCTCCTTACACCTTTACTCCAACCCTTCCCTCCTGCTGGCCTCTCCCCGAACGGGAAAGATGCGCACCATCAGAGCATTGGAGAAGCGATCACACAGGTAATCATCACCTGAGCTGCCGTAAGTTCGTGCGAAACTGCATGCATCAAACAGGGCTGCCCATTGCGTCTGCACTGAGAAAAGTTTAGGATTTAAGTAAGCTGTGACATGTTGTCATCCGAAGCTGGAATCCAGCTGGGACCCGCTTGTGTTGCGAGGGCTGCAGGAAAAGACCTGAAGCGTTTGTGCAATGGCCTTCCTTCTATGGGAGCCCATAGCATCATAGCAGGAGTTCGGCAGCCCAGGGACCCTTCTTTGCAAGCAGAGCTGCTGTAGCAAAGATCTGCAGAGAGTGCAGACCACGCGCACACCATCTCCTGACAAGGAAAGGCGTGGATCCCCCTTCGGCACTGAAAGTCAGGCCTTGAGTGTTTGAAACAAGCACAGTCTCGAGGTCCGCTTCTGCCATGGGACCCACAAGGGGCTCGAGGAACTGCAGCACTACCCGCAATCGTAGTGCAAAGCTTCTGCATGTCTTTGCCGTAATCCCCGAAAGGCCACCAAACCCAACATCCAAGACGAATCAAGAGCCCCGTCTTGAAACCGAGTTGTGCGGTCCTTCTCCACAGAAACCGCCTATTCACACCCATGAAGAGCTCTCTCCTCAGCCGAAAGAAGCTCCAATTGCTCAAGAAGGCGATGCACCAAAGCCTCTGCAGACTCTGGGACGAACGCACCAAAGGGCGGTGTTTGTGCATTGGGGCTTTGATTGCCTTCTCCTTGCCGGCTTATTGTCTCTTCTTGGGCTTGTTGAGCTTGGGAGCCGGAAAGTATCTAGGCTCACAGCTGGAAGAACCGCGAAGCAACCATCATACAGCACTAAGCTGCAAGGACGAACTCGAAGCGTAAATGCCCAAAATTGGAAAGACAGGCGTGAGTTGCAGTGTTGGCCTATTCTCTATCGCCCCTCCGGGATTTCCAAGACTGTTGTAAGAAAGCGTTTGTTGCGAGGAGCATGCCCTGCCACATGGCCGAATTCTAAGAGGGTGTCGGGGCTTTCGGAGAGCTTTGGTGGCTTGGGATGAAGGATGGTAGATGCTTGATCGACGAAGCAAACATAGCCACCGATCATCAATCATCCGCCCTACAAGACTCTGTTCAGTTTATCAGAAGATACAGGACCCCATAAGAGGAATTCCGTTGCTGATAATTCCGATCTTATACTATATTTCTAAGCCTAAAGCCCTAAACCCTAAAACCCTCAAGCCCTAAACCCTAAAACCCTAAAACCCTGAACCCTAAAACCCTAAAGCCCTAAGCCCTAAACCCTAAAGCTCTAAACCCTAAAACCCTAAAACTCTAAACCCTAAAACCCTAAGCCCTAAAACATCCCAAGCACAGAAAGCAACCTCAGATCCGAGGCACGGGGACCAACTTCGCGACGAAACCCGGGATGGCAGGGCCAGGGGGGCTCCTGCAAGCCGAAGAGCAGAAGGGGATAGGAGTGTAGTATAGGGGCGTTAATAATTAGAATAGGGCCTAGGGGCTCAAAACATGGGGGGACTTCTTCAGATTTTGTTTGGGAGAGTCTGGGGTTCAGAATTTATGGGGATTTCTGGGGGGGGTTCAAGGTTCAAGGAGTCTTCAGGGCTTGGGGAAAGGGCTTGAGTAGGATTCTTTCCCGCCGTCAGAGATTTCAATTTCTGACTGAAGGAAGCCTTCGGAAAGAAACTAGTTCATGGTTGGGATAGGATTAAAAATTAAACATCTTTATTCCTTATTGGGTTTAAGTACCCATAAAAATGTAAGTTGTTGCGGAGATGAAAGCTCCATGACCCAAAACCGAACCTTGTCACAAGCTCGAAAAGCGTGGCCATATCTGGAATTGGGCAGCTTTGCATCATCAGACCGCGCGAAGAACTGAAACTATGGCACAACTCTCAGAAGACCAAAGCTCAGCACCTGTTGCCCTAAAGCAAGCGCAACTCTCGTTTTACGCTTATGGAAACCTTTTTTGCTTGTCTCAAGTACCCCCCAAGATATGTCACAGTGCCGCAACATTCCCCGGCTACGCAAACCTCACCGGGTAACAGCCTCATGTTCCTGATCCCAACTCTCGCAACCTGCGATTCCAACAAAAATCAGCCACCTCCAAATGGTTAAAAACTCAAGAGTTCCTTGTGTCACCGTGGGCCAAACACAAATAATGCAGAGGAGCACTACCTAGGACAACGAGTACCACTTGATTTCTTCAGCTCTCCCCTGCTTTGCTTGCTTTTTGTTTTCTCACGACCGATGCGCGCTGCGTCGCGCGCCTCGGCTGCGCGGCGTTCTTCCGCTCTCGGCGTGCGAATTGGCCTAAGGCCTGGCAGAGCCTCGCAGCCGCTCACAGCCGGCTTCAGCTTCCCAGGGCTTTCAAAGTAGGCTCCTAGGATTACTTCTTGGTATCATTAAAAATGAGTCATTATGCTTTTTGATGAGCAAAATCCTGTGTGACTTACAGGACAGCTGCCGCAGGTGTTTCGGAGGTACTGCCATGCGCGCAGCTTTCTTTGGAACCGCAGCTGACATTGCGGTCATTGTTTGCATTCTGTCAGCCCCGATCGAACAGCTGATTTTGCATCGCACACATGTCGGATCCAGAGGTGGGATATAGGCAACCATTAAGTATCGAGTTGTTCCGTTACTGATCGAGGATCGAATCTCGAAGCAGTCAATTGGGATTTTGACACACTGTGGGACACCTTCAGGGACCTTCAATTTCAACATTCATCAGAAACCAACCCGGGACAGTTTGAGAATATCACAGAGCGGTGAATGCAGAAAGCCTGACGGCCCAAACGCTAAGGACGTTGGTGCAAGCCTGCCTGGAGCAATCCGAGGGCCGCAGCAATGCCAGGGCTTGCGCTGCTCGGGGCGAGACGGGGCCCTGAGTTCGGTCTGAACATTTCGGTGGGAGCGGTTTAGGAATGCAAGCTTTTCTAGCGGATAAAGGACTTCGGGATTTAGAATTTGAGTGTGCGGGTGGGCTGACATGCCGGTAAGACGGAAACAAACACCCAATGTCCAGGCTTAACCAAAACGGAACCGGCGACGAACATGCAATTTACCTTTTGATGTGTCTTGGGTCTCCGTAAACCCCCGAAGCATCCTGCGACTGCTCGGACTCGGCTGAGCTGCTCCGGCAGAGAGCTCCGTCAGCAGCAGCTTCTCGAAGCCTTCGCTGCCACCCGCAGTTGCGGGATTCAACTTCGCTGAAGCATTGAAGGTTTCTGATTTGAAGGTTCCGGGGTTCAGAGGGTTTAAGGTGTTTACAATCAGCTTATGGGCACTTTGCACTGGCTCTTTGAAGCGCGTTGGCCTTTTTCGGACCTTAGAATGCCACAAAAGACTGCATAAGCTGCTTGTGCTCCGCTTTCGGAAGCTGAGCGGTCTTTGTGCCTGGGCGCTTATGCCTCAGGGATTCATGTGACAGATGGGCCTTAGCAAGTGGAGTAGAGTTTCGGGGTATACAATAGCAGAATTCTATGGAACCCTCAGCATTAATATTGGTAACCCATGACTGTTCATCTATCATACTGCGAATAGAACATGGGGCCCCTTCTCCTTCTAAGAGGGGCTTTTCCGTTTGTCTGGGACAGAGAAGGTCCTGGGAAAGAGCCGTTTTGGATTTTGGGGTTCAGGCTGTAGGGTTTGCGGTTTTATGTAGGGTCCACGGGGTTTATGATGCATCTGCTTGATGGAGTACATACAACCACCATGTTGGAGCAACATTTCGAGTTTTGTATCAGGGGACACAACCTGCGCCCGAAACCCTACACCCGAAACCTATAAACCCTTCAATCCCCGACCGGAAACTTGAAGGAGGTAACCCGATTCAGTTCTATGAACAGAAGGATCGACTGTCCAGCTTCTTTGGAGGCACAAAGAAGGCGCTCGTCCAAAAAGGATCCAAAGTTGGCTCATTGCTGACAAGCTATGCTTGCAGCACGCGGCTTCGGGTGGCCAGCCTGGGGGGAGGGGGAGTTTTTTTGCCAAGTGGAGCGCTGCTTTCGCCGTCGTCCAGATGATACTCGGAGTGTATCCAAGTATCTCCGCTGTACATCTCAGATGACCTGACCTCTGCAAGCTTTGCTGTGCTCGGAGCAGAGGCGGACTTCTGCAAAAGGATTGCTAAGGACTTGACAAGCTGAGTGATAATGAAAGATACCGACATGGCGCGTTAACGGTTTGCTGAAGTGTTTTTTCATCTGTGCGAACACAGGCTCTGTAGTTTATCATCATTTTGATGTTCTGTCGGTTGTTGCATCCCGTAGATGAAACCGAACAAGTTGGTCTCACAGAGCCCAACGTGCTGACGGTCGCCCGCACGACAAATGTTGAGGTTGTTCTTCTATGAGTCGTTCGGCTTGGAGTGCTTGCTACAGCTACAGGAAGGGAACGTTGGTTCAATGTCTGCGTACCTGTAAGTCCCGCATGACAATACATAAGTCGGAACACTGTTGTCCAACGGAGTTTCAGAGAATGACTAATATCCTAAATGCAAGGCATACCTTAAATCGCAAAACCATTCAAAACCCGTTTTCAAGAACCGCACCCGCGAGATGCCACGGTCGGTGCCAGAGTTCAAGCTCCGGCATTGGCAGCTACTGACAGCACGAACTCCTCCCTGGCCGTCTTGAGGATCACCTTAGGGTTCGTAGATCTGTGTGAAGGATTTTGAGGGCTTTGGGCATTTAGATGCTGAGGGGTGCGAGGTTTTCGGCTTCGGCTTTGAGCTTAGGCAGCTTAGGTTTAGGCGTTCCAGGCATTCAGACCTGGCTCCAGCAGGGAAGACTTGCTCAGAGGGTTGAAATCTTTACCCAACTTCAGGTTCACCATCGCTGCTATGCTCCGATTAGGATTTTCCAGAAAGCCAACTTTCAAGCGCATACTGCTTGCGCCCCGAAGTCACGTCCACGGCGCGGGGAACTCCACCGCAGACTTTGAGCTTTGAAGCCTGGGCTTCAGCGGCTCCTTCAGCGTCGAGAGCAGCATTGAGGTCTTTTCGGGGCTTAGGGTGACGGTCGCCTGCTGGGGCACTCTGCTTAAAGACTCGACGAAGCGATTGAAGGGAGGCCACCTTGTCGAAGAGTCCCACACTCTTCGATTCTCGCCAAGGCTCGCTGATAGGCCGGATTTTGCAAGACCTCTCGGAGAGATCTGCTGACATCTTCGCGGTAACCTGCCGCGGCGGGGGCTGCCTCGTCCTCAGGGAGGAAAGCGACAACTATGGTGTCGGGCCAGGATGTGGGAACGTGCTCTGCGCCGCAACTCCTTTCACCGGTGACCTTGCGTTTCTTTCTTACGAGAGCCTCACAATTCGGTTTACGAGACAGAACAAGGAATGACGATGAGAGTATGGGTGGGGGGGACTTCCAGCCTTGAAAATTAGATCTTACATCTGTGTTGGGGTTCCGGATCAAACTTTGGCCACAGTGTCACAAAGCTAAGAAAGCTTCAAACATGAAATCCCTAAAACCTGAAGCCAGAGCCCATAATATAGGGGCCTCAGAAATTACCCATACTATTGTGGGGGTGATATCCCCAAACCCTATTCCAACTCTTAAGGCTCCTACATTAAGCTTCCTAAAAGCCCAGGCTTCCTGGGTGGCGATGGAAGGCCGATCCACTTTCAAGCCGACGCCAAGGGCCAGGGCCTTCTCCGCATTCACCACCTGAAACCCAAAGGCTCCATGTACCTTTATAGTAGATACTTAGGCCTTAAAGGGGTCCCTATATAGGTACTTTAAGGCCTATGTATCTATTATATGGGCACATGGAGCCCTAGGGAAAGTCAAAGGCCACGCTCCGGTGTGGGGCAGGGCTTCTGTGCTTGCCTGGGGCCTGAGAGGACTTTACAGTTACGGAGTTACAGGTGAAAAACCCCGCTTCTCAGCTGGACTGCTAAGCAATACTCCGCTACGGTCACGTGAACGCCAGACTGCACATCCCATCACTGGCGACAAGAATTCCCACATCAAGCCCCCCGCACTTGAGAGAGGAGGCCTGATCTCCGAAACCGGGACAAACCAGCACCGGCACGCCGGATGCCAGAGCTTCGGTGAAGCCTCGGTCCGGTTCTCTTATCGAACCGCGAAATCGTTCGCCGCTCTCTCTTGGCGGAAATCACCGAGCTCTCCAGGCAACGAGGACTTGAAGCTCCCAGGCTCCAAACGAAAACGTGGAATAACCCTTATTAGAGATCATACTACTACTAGCAGACCAGGGAGTTGGAATGCCTTCACATGGACAATCAAGAGGCTGTTCTGCCCACCGTGTGTCACGAAGACATCCACACCAGCTCTCAGCAGGTCCACCTGTCTGAAGGAGGGCATGCACACGGCACCACTCGGGACCTTGATGTCCCCAAGCGGGTCTGCTTGAAAGCCCAGGGCAGTGATGACCAAGAAGTCTTCACCACAGGCATCGAAGGTGCCCGACCAAACTGCACGGCAAAGATCTCGACCGGTGATGCTTCGGCCATTGCAGTCTGCATCCCAACCTGCAACTTTGTCGCCACCGGTGATCACGGTGCCCATGCTGACGAGCACAATTCGCTTTCCTGCTTGACGTGCCTCGCGCATCTGCTGGATCAACGGGTTGGCCTCCAAGGCTTCCGGCACGGAAGGCATCAGCAGGGGTCCCACAAAGACAAACCGGGTGCCGTCTCTCTCGTAGGCCATGGCAAGAGGTTCCGTCACGGGATCCTGCGGATAAAGCTTGTGCCGATCAGCCACTACATGAGGAGAGACGAAGCCCTAAATTCCCAGCAAGCACACCAACACCACCCCCCAATAAGCGCTAATTACTCCGCTACACACCCAGAGTTCACCCACTGCTTTAACAGACTTTCTTCTTTCTCCTGGAGCTCTTATAGCTTCAGAATATTATGTAAACAGTACCCTTCTAGATCCCTTATAGTAACCCTTATAAACCCCTTTAAAAGGCCTCTTCCATTCCCCACTAAGCAAGGTAGGATGTTCCTCTCTCCCCAAAAACTCCAATATCCCTTAGTTAAGGAATATACCCTAAGTTATAGTAGGATCCCTAATATGATTTAAGGTATATTCCTTAATTAAGGGATATCGGAGTCTCTGGCTCCTGGATTTTGAAGGCACCTGTACAAAAGTGCCTCTATAGATCCCTTATAGTAACCCTTATAGACCCCTTTATAACCATATTAAGGCCCCTTTAAATGGGATCTACCTGGAGCTCTTCGGAGGTCGTCACCAGCACGGTGTTGCGGCAAGTGTCCAGGTAGCCGTCGGGCAAAAGATGGGTTTTCTGCAGGGCCAGGTTGTACCTGCAAAGCAGGAAACTAACACTTCAAGGCTCTTTGGGGGGTTTATGGCCTAAAGTTTAAGGGCTGTGCTGAAAGTTCAGAAGTAGGGGGCATTTGAGCATGATCAAGACTATTGTATTCCTTTCGGGCAGGGTCCCTGCAAGGCAGTGGCAGCACCCAGCCGGAGGCAACAAGACGTGATAGGCGAACCAAATTGCTGTAGCACAGTAGCGGCACGGGAAGCCACTGAATAAAGAATCGCCTAAAAGACCACACATTGGAGCCAAAGGTGCTTGCTGTAGATGCGCTTAGTGGCGGCCGTGTGCCAGGAAAACTGCTTCACCTCTTTGCCGGCCTCCTCACAACCAACGGGATCCGATTTGTGCAGGAGAACTCACAGACATCAATCGGCCAATGTCTGAACCCTAAAGCTAAACCCAATGCCTTAAAACCCGAAATCCTAGAGCCCTCGACCCTCAAACACGCTTCGTCCTGCACCCTGGCAAGCTACTATGGGGCTCATGGACAAAAACCTGCGTTATCTATGATAAGGGAGATGCCAGCACAATGCCCATACGGGAGTGTTGTCAACTGCAGGATTTTCCACATCCAAAAACCGATTGAGAGTAGAGGGTGTAGGCGTAGGGCATGCTCGTGTCCGAAGCCTTCGCAAGCACCCAGCACTGCATTGAAAGTGATGGTGTTGGGCAGTGTGCCTCGGGCAATTTATCTCTCCACTGCACAAACGAAGGCTTCCACGGTTGAGATTTGCAAGGCTGAGATTTCGAACTGAAGGATTTTGGACTCTCGTGCTGCAGGGCGGTTTGTTGCCTGACAATATGGGAGTTTCCGAAAATGGGGCACCTTACTTTGGGGTTCTTGTAATAGGGATCCTACTACTTAAAGCGCTAAATTGAGATCCCCTATTCTCGAAACTCCCCTATGCAGGCTTGCTGGTTCCGGTTCAGACCTGATGTCTGGAACTGCTCTGAACACCACTGTCTGCTTCTTAGTAGGGAATGGGGGAATGGATCCCTAGAATAGTCCCTATATTATCCCCAACAATAGTCCCCAGAACCCATTCCCCATTCCCTACTAAGAACCAGACGGACCAAGGCCCCGAAACTGCGAACCTTGAACCGGGAAAATCCTACGCTCTAAACCCTTTGAGTTCCCACACATTGCAAGAACCACAGAAGGGCTTTTGTTGGGGATGTGGGGCTTCAAAAACGGACCGGAGAAGAGTTAGGGCTCAATAAGAGCATTGGGTTCAAGGTAGAGGGCTTAGTCAGGACATTGGGCTTTAGGGCTTTAGGACTTAGGGTTAGGGTTAGGCTTTCAGGAATTCATACGTTCTGAAAGGTGGTTGAAAAAGCTTCGGTGCCTGGGGTCCAGGACTTCGTTTTCAAGACAGACTCCTCCGATCGTGTGAAACGGTACTTCACATAGCTTGACCCACATACGCAGTGCTCATGACTGCACAGCGAGTTCGGCCACTTCGCGGCTCCAAGCGTCTGGCACAACTTTGCACGAAACTACCTTCCGAAAAAAGCAATGTAACTTACAAGTGCTATCATATAAATCACAGACCCTGCTCAAACCCCAAACCTTCATGTTGATGCTAGCAAAACTCACCAGTGCTCTTCTGCTTCTTTGCGGCCACCTTGGCCTTCGAGGCAGCCTTTTTCTTCTCTCTGCGACGGTTTTCTGCTTCCAGGCTCCGCTTATGGCCTCTCAGAACGTCTTCAGATGGGCCAACGCAGACCACAAGCGGATAGTGGCTGTCGTCGTCGCTTTCCTCAAGACGGTTGGCTTACTTTCTAACCATAGCTGCATTGTATCCACAAATCAAGTAAAAACTACCGGAATACAACAAGAACAGCCGAGACTCCCGAAGCCCAAACGATGATCTGCCCAGTCTGTCCAAGTGTTCAGCACGCTTTTTCATCAGCAACGGCTTCTCACGGGGCCAATTCAGCGCCACTGCCAGCATCTCCGGCGAATGTCCTTTTTCCAGGTGGTAAGAAAAACCCCGCACAGAAGATGCTACGGTCTTGAGGGAATCCTCTACTAGCCCCGCAGCTTGGTTGAAATCGCCACCAAGAAGACGAATATCATCTCGTCGGCACAGCCGCCACATGGAATCCAAAACAAATCGAACGCTGTCCGGCTTTTTTGCTGCCCAGCTCTCGTAGTGAACCGACATAACCCTGACCTCTTCCAAGCCAGCGCGCTTCAGGATGGTGTCAGCCTCTAACTGATGCCAAGTTATGCTACATGCATGAAACCGCACAGCATGCGTGGCGTCAGTTGGGGTCCAAGGTCGGGGAATCAGGCCGCTATGCGCTTCGTAAAGGGGCCGCAGGGCCTTGCGGCCGGAGCCGCCTGCCAGGATGCCCGTCAACGCACCAGGCGAGATGCTAGAAGCCATAGCTCGGCACCTTGCCAACAGGGGGTATATAGTTCCACCTGCTTCCTGCAGCAAGACCACGTGATTGTTCCGCGTGAGGTAATCGTTCAATCGATCCCCCTCGCATCGACGATCCATTGCCCCAAAATTGGCTACCATCATCATCAAATGATCACTTTCGCCTGCACCGTCCAGCTCCTGCTTCAGGCCTCCTCGCTGTGGACCCCTGCTTCTGCTAGCTGCAGCACTGCCCTCCGGCAAAAATTTTATGGAATTGGAGCTAAACGACTCATCCGCGTCCGGATCGTACCCGAGGCCTTGATGTCCACGCCGCATGAAACTTGCGCGGACATCCGTTTCAGGCACCTTTTCCGCTGATTCCTCGACGATATAACTTGCCTGCAAGCGCTTGCCAGCGCTGCCACGCGCCGACGAAGGCTGCTTTGGATGCCATCTTGCATCAAACTCTTCAAACGTCGCGTCGCGTGCCATGTTTATTTCGAGCACACCAAGTCCTTAATCTTCTTCAACTAACAATATTATCGCTGAAAAACCCCAACACATGCTTTTTGTTGTCAACAACAAAACCCCAAACCCTAAACACCGCTGTGGAATTCTGGTAATACAGCGTTTAACGAACCGAGCCTCGAGGTCCCTAGACAAACTGCGACATGTTGGCGTCACATTCGTAATGAACTTGGGGCTCGCAGGCTCCGCGCCGTGCGAGTGAGTCTGAAACAGCCGCCGAATGTGAATGCAGAGTGCATCAATTTAGGGTTTAGGGCTTTCGGAGCTCACAGGCGGACGATCACATCACCATCACCCTCATTAATCGTCGTCGGCAAAGTACCCTAAACCCTACGACCCTACACCCTACAACCCTACACGCATACACCCTAAATCCTAAATTCCTAAACGACGAGCCCCACCTTCCGCAAGTCCGAGAAGATCAGCAGTGCCAGCTGCCATTGCCCTCCCTTCTCGCACGCGCTGATCGCAGCGTTGAAGGTGATGATGTCCGGCCCTGGCGACCTTGAGGAGTACTTCGGTTGCCGAAACTTTAAACCGTAAGCCCTGAACCCTGAACCTTATCCCCTGAACCCTAAACCTTAAACCCTGTCGCTTTATCCCTTGAGCCCTAAACTCTAGATCCCAGAGAGCAATGCCTTGACAACGAAGTTACGATGAAGTCGACACCGACACCCCACACCGCCCACAGCCCGAGCCGGAAAAACTACACGATTTAGGGCTGAGGGTTGGGGTTGAAGCAGAATCGTCCAGAGCAACAAAACAGGCCGAAACAGTGAACCCGAAACCCTAAACCCGAAGCCCTACGCCCCCTAAACCCGTGTTACATAAAGCCAAAAAGGGGCAAAAAAACACAAAGCCCCACGCGCATGCTTGCTAGGTCCAGCGGCTGGGATAGCAGCACCAAAGCATCTCCCCAATTCCCCACCTCCTCACATGCACTGATTGAAGCTGCTCCTGGGTCTGGGGCTTATAGTTATCTCCAGGGTTTTGGGTTCGGGGTTTTGGATTCCGGATTTGTGGAACTAGTTAGTTGGAGCCTTACTTAATAAGTAAGTGATAAGAAGAAGCTGTAGGTGAGATAGCCCCAGTTAGAATACGTACGTTGTTTGAAATGCCTACTCAATAAGTACCCTGATCACTTGGGCTTGCGGACGTAATTACCGGAGCTTGGCACGATTCTAGTCCTACACGCAACAGCACACCAAAACAGAAACCCCCAAAAAAATATCCCCAGAACCCTTAACCTAAAATCTACAGGCTAAGCACGGACAGGACATGAAGGACATATGTAGCATCTAAGTAGCATTCGTGACTGATATCTATGCGTTGCCATCGTACTGTACAGCGGTACTGAGCCACACCTGCAGCCGCTGACCGTTTGTAGCGAACGGACGACAATGACGATGGCAAATCTTACCATTTGGGCATTGTTGCAGGGATCGTGGAAACGGTCCCATCCAATCCAAGTTTCAACATCTCCGGTCGTACTTGTAACTTCCCTTTCTTAAGTTCAGGTTTGTGGGCACGTGGTACTGGGCCACACCTGCAGCCATTGACCAAATCTACAGGCTAAGCACGGACAGGACATGAAGGACATATGTAGCATCTAAGTAGCAATAGTGACTGATATCTATGCGTTGCCATCGTACTCTACAGCGGTACTGAGCCACACCTGCAGCCGCTGACCGTTTGTAGCGAACGGATGACATTGACGCTGGCTCAGGGTTTCGGGCTTAGGGTTTAGGGGTTTAGGGCTTCGGGCTTAAAGGTTTGGGGGGAGAGAGAGGTGTGTGTCTGCACGTATGCATCACATGCATGGAGGCATGGAGTAAGCGATAGAAGCATGTATGGATGGATGCACGGATGGATGGACTGTAGTGGACGGATGTATGGGCACCTTGATGTCTGCATGCATGTCTATGCTGTTATGCATCTTTGCTGTAGGTCGCACCCATACTTATATACAGCATCTCCGTACCCTAACGAGCACTCCAAGAGAACTCCAGTGCCTTGACTTGAGGCCGAAGCCCAGGATTTGAACTGGATTGGAAACGGCAAACCCTCCAATCTATGACGCCTCAAACTCAAACCCTAAACCCCAAAAATCTAAACCTACAGCCCTTGAGCCCTTAACCCTGAACCTTAACCCCTTAACCGCAAACCTTAAATCCCCTTAGCCCCCCCTTAGCCCTACACAACACGGGCCCCGCACAGCGTCCGTCTCGACCCCGGCGATCGTGTCGGTCACTTTTTATGGCCCGACTGGTCTGGCCTGGGCAATACGGGGACTTTGACAATGAGAATAGGGTTTTGGGACCCAGTATACATTAGGTTAAGGAACACCCAAAATAGTATAGGAGTTTGGCCCCTAGAGGTAAAGGGTTGGGGGGGTTTCGGGTTTGGGCTTACGGTTGAGGGTTTTGGGGTTTAGGGGTTTGAGGGCTTGGGTTTAAGGTTGGGGGTGTGGGGTTTCGGGTTCAGGGTTTGGGGTTTGGGGTTTTGGGTTTTGGGCTTCAGCTTACCAGTTTGGGACTTAGAGTTCTGGGTTTGAGGTTTAGGGTTTGGGTTTAAGATTTGGGGGCATGCGGTATAGGTTTTAGAGGATTAGACCCTAAGATAATACACCCTAAAAACCTTAAACCGGATTCCTCAGCTGGCCGAAGTTTTGCAGATCGGTGTTTGTCTGTGGCAATTCCCGAACGTCTCTACCCTCGATGGAAACTCCAAAAACTGCTTCCCGACGCGGTATCAGAATAAGTATATGTGAAGCGCTTGTGCATTGCAAGGTGAGCCGAAACCCCAAAAAATTCGAAACCTAATGCCCCAAACCCTAAACCCCTGAATCTTAAAACGCCAGACCCTAAATCCGAAGCTTTAGGTGGACTGGTCTAAGTCCGAAACCCTGAGACTCCCCCAAAAAACCCTACCCCTAAACCCGAAATCCCCAAACCCCCCGCCAGCATCTCAGGGCAGCGCTATAATCTCCCGGAGGGCCCCAGTTCATGCCATAGGGGGGCCTCAGGTTGCAACTCCGTGGCGCCCTTCTTGAGTACAGCAAAGTAATGATATACCGTGTAGTATAGTACAGCACAGTAAAGCGTTGTATAAGGTATAGTACAGTCATGGCATAGTTAATGAGTTATGGCATAGCTCATGGTACCGTTGTAGTATAGTCTGTTTAGAGTGCAGTTTTACGATAATGAAGGGCTTTGTGGCTCAGGGTTGAAGGCCTTTGGGCTTTGTTTGGTGGTTTGGTGTAAAAGGTGTCGCGTTTTGGATTTAGGGGTTGGGTTTGTTGATTCTGGCTCTTGGCGGCGGGTCTAGTGCTTTGGGTTTGCAATGGGCTTTACAAAGTTGCGCACGCCTCACGTGGGAATCTTGTGTTTCAGAAAGATTAAGGTTTCGCGCCGCCTGCCCCAAAATTTCAACTGCCCGAAATCGTGGATGCTCGCGAGAATCACGACGCAACCCGCGTGGTTCGGATGTTTGGATCACGTAAGGAGCCGGCCTGCGTTCCAGGATTCAGTGGGTCGAAGAATACTGGGAGACACTGAGCTGCGTTTTGTGATCGTAAGGCATCTATCAAGCCAAACACTTCTATATCTTTCATGCAGCTCTCGCGTTTGTTGCGCATCCATCCTCTTGAGAAACGACGGATGCCCTCGAAGAGGAATGACAAGACCGCTGCTGCTGATGATGCAGCACCGATGCGACATAAACACTAGCAACTGTAGGAATGAAACAACAAATTGCCAAAAGCCTGATAGCACCACAAACACAAACAACTATCGTCATCATCACCACATCCCTGTCATCAGCAGGATCAAGCCCCGTTCTCGAAACCTCGCAACCCACCGCCCACTGGCGCCCGCACGGGCCATAGGGCCCCCAAGGGCCGCCTCCATAGGCGACCTCATGAGCTGGCACGAGCTCTGCACAAACCTCACGACCCTTGTATGTGTATACGTATGTAAGAGCACACATACATATACATAGATACATGCATACCAACATACGTGCACACATACACGCTTGCATACTTACATACTTACATACAAACATACAAACGTACATACATATATACGCACATATGCGTGTATGTATGTACGGATGTATGTATGTATGTAAACACATGACATGTGAAACTGTGAGAGTGCCCTCTTCTCATGTCTGGGGCTCAGACAGGCCCACTAAATACCAACACTCTATCTGTCAACATATGTACACACACCTACATATATCTGTATATGTATAATATGTTCTACATTAGACTATGTGTGTTGTATCTCAAACACTGTGGCGAAGAGCTGAAGGATGTTTAAGATCTCCAGTGCTTCCGAAAGTTTGGACGAGCGAGGGCTTGGGCTTCAACACGAAACACCTCGGTACGCCGGGACGCTCAAAAGATCTGGTAGAAATTTCATCAAGAAAATCAATCACACCTACCTACTTCAGTATGGTTCTTCATCGCGGAACTACACCGCAAGACCATGTGCATATACTTAATCTTCTACACTACACCGCACATGCATGTTTATAACTCAACATCCATCCAGGGATCCCCGCGGGCATCGGGTACCCAGGCATGTATGCCATGGCATAGCCTGAAGGAAGTATCCGACGGGGCGGTGAGAAAGCAGAAGTTACAATAAAGTCACTTCTCAAGGAATCTCGCCCAGACAATGCTTGAAAATCTGATGCAAAACTGCATCCTTAAATCCTAAACATCACCGCTTAACCTTGGTCGCCCCCGACTTCAAGAATACTTGGTTGGGGACTCGGCAAGCTGCGTGCAACGGAGGTGGAACTTCCATGTGTTCAATACTTTCCGTGTTTGGCCCTGCAAATCGGTTTCTTGGGTTTTCGACATGCCTCAACTCTGAAAGTCCAAACTCCCGAACTCATGCTCCTGCCTCCGGGCGGGCCATCGGACCGCTTTTTCCCTGTTCCGAACCGCTTGA